CGTCGCCTGCCCGAACTCGAGGTATGTAATGAAGCATATCTCAGTGGTGAAAAGCGTTATCCGCTTGATCTTTCACTTTCAAAGTAACCAATGGTCTCAGGTATTCCCTTTGTACGAACAGATCAGCAGAGGGATCGTGTCAGCATGCGAACATGCGAACATGCGAACATACCCCGCCTGGCAGTTTATATTATAGACAAAAGCTACACCCCAAGACACATTTCTGTCTTCTATGTCTTCTAAGTGGGCCATGTGTCAATCTGTGGGCCTCAATTTATTGAATCGCAGTTCGGATGGGTCCACGACGCAAATTTATTGCGACATCTGAGCCTTTCCTTGGGAAAGCAAGATCTGACGAATTCCATCAATTTATTAAATCCATTATGTGGGTCAATTGCTCCATCAATGAAGCAGAATCCCAACAATGAGACCCACAAAGTTCGCAATTGTTTGGGTGTATTTTGAACGCACGAGTGTCTGCATTTAAATAAAACTTGGGCTCGAGGTGAGCCAGCTGACATAATTTACAACATCAAGTCACTAATTCGGCTCAGCATATCAAAGGCTAACATGTTCTAGATAGTGTTATATAAATGCTCGATTCAAAGCAAAGGAAATCACACCACCATCCATCAATCGATACCCTACAGCTCAAATCTCTTCCCAAGCCATGCCAAAGACCTTAGTTCCTATCGGAGACATCTCTGTCGGGGACACTGTTTGGGTTCCTCTCATTATCGAAATAGAGGATTATCAAAACTTTGCAGGGGGATCAACCACCTCAAAACGGTACGTAGGCACTCATTATACTGTACAATTTGAGTGATCCACTATGGCTGACAACTCTGCAGTGTCCGTAAGGGTCAATCAGTCGACCGTCTTGCAGTTGTTCTCGTTGCTGATGGGTCTAGCATCCAAGTCACCTATTCTGTGACATTTGGAGGGCAGAAAAGTTTACCTGCGAGTGTAACCGATAAGACAATGTGGTATCCTGTATCACCGGCTTCCAATGAAGGCAATTATGATCCCCTTCCTATGGTGCCAGACCAACCGGCTCACTGGATCTGTGTTCGAAAGAAACAGACGATCACATCGGCGATGGTATGTACCCTCGTTGCATCTGAATTTACTAGCTGCTAAATGAAGTGCAGGTTAATCGTATGAATACAGGGGAGTTTAATGCAGAGACGGTCAAGCTCATCCTTGCAGCAATAAAGGAATAAGAAGCAAAAAATGCTATTAGGAATTTCTGACCTTACTATGTAGCTAATCTGATAGATTGGTTCAATGATATTCTCTTATTTCATCGGGACAAATATAATCAAAGCCA